AACACACAGACAAACAAACACACACACAAACAAACAAACACACAAACAAATAAACACACAAACAAACCTGGAATCCAAAAATATAAGCTTCAAATCCAGACTAGCCCGAAACATGAACATATTGCTGTGAAGCTTGATCTCAGTTATGGCACTGCTAGGTAGGGAGTGTCCAACGGCCACTAGACCCACGTGTTGGTAGCAGGTTTCGTAGGGGTGGGTGTCCAGGGCCACCTGGCGAACTTTTAGGTAGCCACTACAGTGAATAACCTGTGTTTGTGTGTGTGTGTGTGTGTTGGTGTGTGTGTTTGTTTGTGTGTGTGTGTTTGTTTGTGTGAGTGTGTTTGTGTGTGTGTTTGTGTGTGTGTGTGTGTGTTTTGTGTGTGTGTGTTAGTGTATTTGTGTGTGTGTTTGTGTGTTTGTTTGTGTGTGTGTGTGTTTGTTTGTGTGTGTGCGCGTTGGAGTGTGTTTATGTATTAGTATGAGTGTATATTTTTTTACAGGCCAATCTAAGTATGTGTGAGTGTGTGTGTGTGTGTGTGTTTAGTTTACGTGTTAATGTATTTATTTTATAAATTCCTACAAGTGCACACAAACATACATACAGACATACAAACATACATGTAGACACAAAAACACACAAATATACAAAAACATACATACATACAAACATACAAAACACACAAAACATCTTATTTGCATAACCCTCTTACGTCACATGGGTCGACATTGAGACATACAACCAAATACAACAACAAAGAGGAGAGAGAGAAGAGAGAGAGGGAAAGAGAGAAAGTGAAAGAAATATTAGAAGAGTAAATAAAAAAATGTCTGTATGTATGTACGTACGTATGTATGTATGTATGTATGTATGTATGTATGTATGTATGTATGTATGTATGTATGTATGTATGAATGAATGTATGTATGTATGTATGAATGAATGTATACAAACAAATAGTTATGTTGCATAGGTATCCACTTTAAAACAAAAATGTACATGTGCATAAATTGTATGTAAGGAAGTATTACGTTTCAGTATTCATACACACATACAAACATACAAACACACACACATACATACATACATACATCAATACAAACAAACAAACAAACAAACACATACATGCATACATACAAAAACATCTTCATACAATTTTTCCAAGAGTCAATTTAACTTATTTGTTTGCACGTTGATCCAGAGCGTGTCATAACTACGAAAAATCTTGTTTGTGTATGTGTGTATGTACGTGTGTATGTGTGTATGTATGTG